AATGAAATGTGACACATGATGTGCGCGGTGAAATGCAAATGTTTAGACATTGTCGCTTAAACTACTATTTTGCGTCTTCAATATTTGGGTGATATCGTCCATTGTGGCGTGCGATGAAATCATATATACATACATAAATCATATAAACTTTATTTCCTTTAGAAGTTTGGATTAGTTAGATAAAATAAGCTAATATCTTCGAGAACTAAAAACGTTAACAAAAACAAAGTAACTTCAAAAATGTAACTATGATTAGACCGATTTGTTTCCCTAGACAAAGCTACATGAATTCCGGCGTTGTACATGTCTCTTGAAATCAGCAAAATTACCAGTCCATAATCCTTCAGCATTCGATTGGCAGGAAAATATCAGAAGGAACGTAGACCATAACTAGTGAGTGTTTCCTTCAGACTCACTAAGAGACGACACGTGGCTGCCAGGCAAATTATAGTTTGTACAGCGAGTAGTATATACACATTTCTCATATCAGAAGATATCGAAGAATATTAAGCTTCTGTAGACTAATGTAGAAATTTTTAAGTGCAGCCATTGTCCAGAGGAGGCATTTCGACCTTGCTAAGCAGGGTCAGTGTAGTCAAAAGTGTAATCATTTGATATAAACCTACGTATACGCTTGTTAAGTGCTCTCGGCTTTTTACTGTCAGGTAAGCCCCAAAAAATGCCATACAGAAGAGCAATACTAAAAGTGCGGCAGACTAAAGACCTGTACAACTTAAGAAATCATGTCTAGAAATAACGTTGCGAAAGCGTAACATCACGTTGAGTTGATTACAAATTTTCTTCTAAGGACAAGTTATGTGGTACCCCGCAAAATTGAGTCCATTTCCTATTAATAGTCATTCCGAAAATATCCAATTCTTTTTTAATAAGAACGCCAGTAAAAAACACCTGTAGAAAGATGGGTTTTCCATATACGCATTTATTGCAGTAAAAGAAAAGCGTTCGACTGGAATAGACGCGAGAGTCTTGTAAAAATCATGCTTAAGGTATTTATTTCTTCTCGGTATGTAAAGAGTTAATAAATTAAGCAGACTTAGAACACATGATCGGTGCCGCCGCAGTGAAAGGCATACTCATTAAAACCGTCGCACAAACTAACCCCATTACATCCTCAGTGTGGTCCATCTTGAAGTGAGATGAATGGACATCTACTCATTGATTAAACAGTTCATGTTTGGCTAATGACCTGGTACAGCTGCAAACATCTTCCGGTATTCGAATTTTTGCTATAAAAAGAGGATTTTTATCTAAACTAAAGTGCTCAGGAGAAGCAAAAATTACACTTCTGCATTTCATTTCTTTTATGATATGTTGCAAGTCGATAATGGAAAGGATAAGATTTGACTTACATAAAACAATCTACCGAGTAACAGACAGCTTTAATACCAATTTCGCACAAACTACTATTTTTGCATCTTTAATCAGCGTGAGTAATACTGAATATCCTTCATGAAATGAGATGAATGGACAGTACTTCGTTTACATTTGAGCTAATCATAAAGCACTGGCACAGACGTAGGCAGACTGGCTTCCTGAATCCAAATTCGTTGCCTAAAAAGCATTCGATCTGAATTGAAGTAATTAACCAGCGACAATCATTTTTTCAGGTATTCACTTTTCTGTGAAGGTGTAGTCTGATCGTCCGGGTGAGTGTAGTCCTGAGAAGGACTGTTGTCGGTGGTAGTGACTGACGTTTCGACAACCTGTGCGGACAACTTTCGCACAGGTTGTCGAAACGTCAGTCACTACCACCACCGACAACAGTCCTTCTCAGGACTACACTCACCCGGACGATTAGACTACACCTTCACATGTTACCCCCGGGTTCAAACCATTTACTGTATTCAGTTTTAATTAGTAAAGTGACGAATTTAATAAAGGAAAAGCATTAGAACGGCAATAAAATGTGACATAATGTGCGCAGTGAAAGGCAAATTTATTTACACTGTCGTGCAAACCACTGTTATTGCATCCTCAACATCGTCCATCATAACTTGAAATGAATGGACAGCTCTTCCTTAACCCTTTCCACTATTAAGGAGAATTTGCTTAACAGTCAAGAGCCTCTTTAGCTGGTGATCGTTTCCTTTGTTCTTGTGACCGAAATGTGTGATTCTGAGTAAGGAGAAAATGGATGCTAGTCTCTCTTAGCTGTCAAAGGGGTAATTAAACCCTTATTACTGTGAAAGCTATTGGTCTGGAACAGCTGTATACAGACTGACTTTCTGGATACGAATTTAAAACAAAAGTGAGGGAGCAGCAAAACTGAACTACTTTTTCCATATTCATTTCTTTTTTAAATATAAAACGTCGATAATGGAAAAGATAAGATTTAACTTCAGTAAAACGTGGAACACTATTTACCGAGTAAAGGAGAACTTTATAACCAATATCGCACATACTACTCTCTCAATATTTGAACGGATATCATTTATCATGACAAAAGATGAATGGACAGCTCTTCGCTCTATTATTTTAGCGAGTTATTCGGCCCTGGTACAGCCGTACACAGATCGGCTTTCTGAATTTGAATTCTTTGCTTTGAGTGATGGACCAGCAAAAGTCATTTTTCAGGTCTTCCTTATCTTAATATGAAAGAAGTAAAAAGAGGGAAAAGATCAGAATTAATTTCGATAAAATGTGACGAATAATGTGCGTAGTTAAGGACACATGTGTTACCACTGTCATATGAACTACTATTTTCACATTTTCAGTATTTCAATAACATTACGACGCAGTGCTTCCTTAATAAGGACGGTAATTTTTGAGCTAATGATCATCAATTGCTCTATACATACTGCCTTTCTGTTTAGGAACTCACTCTAATAAAGTTTTTGATCTGAATTGAAGTCATGGACCAGCAAAAATCATTTTTCAGGTATTTAGTCCTCTTTTTAATACGCAAGAGGTCATTAGAAAAAAAATTAGTCAAATGTGACAACTTGCGTAAAGAAAGGCAAATTTGTAAACACTTTCGTTCAAACTACAGCTATTACATCCTCAATATTTGAATTATGTCATCAGTTGTGGCATTATGGGGACAGCGCTTTCTTAATTAAAAGTTCTTGTTTGAGTCAATGCTCAAGAACATCTTTATAAAGACTGGCTTTCTGTATTCGACTTCATTGCTGTGAAAGAAGGCGTGCGATCCAATCTGAACTGAAGGAGCAGCGAAAGTAATAATTGTGGTATTATCTTCTTTTTGGTATGTAAAATGTTTATGATTTGATCAAAATAGATCTATCCTCGGGTAAAGTTATTATTAACGGTATCCCCCAGACTACTGTTTTTGCACCCTCTTCACTGAAATAATAATATCGTCTGTTGCGGCGTGATGTAAATGGAAGGCTCCTTCCCAATAAAAACCTTCATATTTGGGCTAATGATGTGGCAGAGCTGTTTAACAGACTACCTTCCAAATTCATTTCTGTAAAAAGGTGTTTGATCTAAATTGAAGTGAGGAAGAAGTAAGGGCCACATTTCAGGCAATAGTTTTTTTTGATAGGTAAAAAATTGAAAACATGAAAAAGATGATCCATATTAAGTGAAATGTAGATCACAATCTACCGAGTGAAAGACATATTATTCAAGAAATTCGTAACTATTTAGTTTATTGAGCAAATGCTGTCTTAGGCCCGGTTCAAACGACGAACTTTATTTGTGCCGAACCTAATTATTAGGTTCGGCAAATGTAAAGTTCGACGTTTGAATCAATTAGGATCGACGCTTTTGTTTTAGGGTCGACTCTATTCGACTGAGCTTGTCGAATAGAACGGCAAAAGATCGACTTCGATTCATACGTCGATCTTCATGTGTGCCGTGCTTAATGCATACATTATGAATATATTAAATTAGTATTTTTTTCCCACAATCCCACTAGTTTTTAGGTAGTTGCCATGCGCATAAGATTACATTCGAGAAAAATGGCGGGGAAAGAGGAACAATCTTGTTGTTCGTGGCTAAAGAATACAAAATATACTTGTTTAAGGTGCAAGGAATACTTCTGTATGCCCTGTTCTGTCTTGGAGAACGATGAAACTGTCAGGGGCTGGAAAATGGGCAGTTCGGTAGCATATTGCGAGCCAAGTTTCAGAGAAGCAGGCCGTTGCAGACTGTAAATAATCTCCGCGGCCTAATCGATATAAACAAAGCGCTAGCCTCAGTTCTGGGGAAATTTGATCCTCTGTCACTATTTCTCTAGAAAGAAATGGGCCAATGCGATTTAATATGTATCTGAACGTTGACCGAGAAATCCGAAATGTTTTCTTGAATCTTGCCTCTGAATAATTGTTCCAAGCACTCTCCTACCATCCAGTGTTTCTGCTCAACCGACGACAGGAGCGAGACACAGGGGGGATATTGTTTCGTTGCGATGAAATAAACAACAAAACAAGAGAACAGGCATTCAAAACTCTCCTCCTCCGAGCAACCAGGTGGTTTAACGCCATTTGCATGTTAAGGCGCGTTCTTCTTCCTTCACGGATGGCATTAGCGATGAGAAATTCTTGCGAGTTGTTTCTCGCGCGAATTTTCCGAAAACTCCCTCATGTTGAATCCTCTTGGGTTCATATCAGTAACCGCTCACCGTAATGGTTTTATTTTGTTGTTCGGCATTTAGGTTCGACTGCATTAGGTTCGACGTCTGAGTCAGCCGTCGAACTTAATTATTTGGGTCGACTCAAATAGGTATTAGGTTCGGCACATGTAAAGTTCGACGTTTGAACCGGGCCTTACAGACTGAAAGGAACAAAATGAGAATTCTCAGAAGCAATAACTGTTTTTTTTTTATGCCCCTTTTTAATGAATAACGGTTCTCCTGATTAATGTAATGTGACCAGCATTTAAGTGTTCATCATTTAGACTGTGTCTAACAGAACGATAACAATTAAAACAGTTCACTTTTTCATATTCAGTTTATCAGTCTGAAGGACACATCTTTTGTGGCGCGCACAATAAGACGTACATTCAAAATCTACTGAGAAATTAATTGAATTCTCATTTGAACAAGCTTTACTGAGAAGGTACGAGAGAGGCAGTTGTCATGAAATCGAAATAAAAAAAATACACTTAGCAAAGTTTAAATCAATTTTTTTTAAATTGTGGAAGTTGAACTTAAAGCCTCATTTCAAGCATGGTATTGTTCTGGCAAATAACATTGTCTTAAAATAGTTATAAAATTCCCAGGCTACATCTCTTCGTTTGCAACAACCACGGTATCCGAGCAAGAAATCCGAAGGTCTGATTTTGGATTCCTCATACGGAATCAGAATTTTTTCCTTTCGCTCGTGACTAGACGAAACACATCTGTCTATTTTTTTTCTCCCGAGCTCAAAACTTACCATCTTTCTAATTCTTTACAAGTTCTGGTAAGATGGTAGCAGTTTTGGATGCAAAAAGATGATTGTTGTTTGACTTGTTCACCCGTTTAAGATCGAGATGTAGATAGTTTGGAAATGCAAGCGATGAGAATATCATACCATGACATGGCGCCCGAGTATTTGAGTAATTTAATATCTCTATATTACCTCCGTCCATGTAAAATCTACGTCTCAACAATGTATCTGGTATTCTATTGGCATTCTCAAATTAAAGGTGATAAAGAAGAATACTTTGGGGATTGATCATTTAGTAGTGCTACGCATAGACTTTGGAATCTGCGCCTGAGTTCAATTCAGTTAGTTTGAACATATTTTCTAAGAAAGACTTAAAAAGTTTCTTTGGCATTGATTTTTTTCTGTTAGGCATTTTTTTAGTAGGCATTGATTTTTTTCTCCTCAGCTCGTTAGTTAGCTCTGATTCCATGCGTTAACGTAAGCATTTCCATGCACTGTTTTTCCTTCTCTTCTTCTAACCACGCTTAGAAGTCGTAAAACCCACTTCTCCATCAAAATGAACAACAGCTCCAGCGCATCAATACCAAACGGTAAGTCTCATATTCTGCATGCATGTTTATGTACTTCCATGACGTTAGCCTTAGCTCCTGTAGCTTCCGAATTCAAAATTGGTATAACATTTGCATATGCATTCATTTTTATTATCGCTTCGTTCGGTAAGTCAAAGGGGTTGTAAGCAGTCGTGAGAGCCATACGGAGCGTACTCATTTCTTTTTTCATACATAAAAATCTCGATCAAAGGAAAAGGTCAAACCCCACTTCTAAAAAATGTGACAAACAAAGTACCGAGTAGAGAAAGAGTTAGCAGCAATATCGCACAAAGTACCATTTAAGCATCCTCAGTATTTTAAGGATATCCTCCATTTGGGGGCGTGAGATAAATGGCAAGCTGAAGTTTATGAGTGTCTAACAATCTAGCATTGCCGCTTCGATCAATATGCAAACAGAAAAAGGAATAGAAGGATAATTTAAAGGGTGAGGTTTCTAGTGGAGTGGAATCCTTCGTTATTCTGATCCTGCTATATCCACATCCGCCGACGCATCTGGCCAATAAAATTTTATGTTCGTCACTGTCAGGAATCTTCCGATTGGTTCTAACACAAGAGATTTTCCCGATAATATTCACGTTAAAATGACCCACAGATTCGACTCACTTAACTATTTTTAATGTCCCAAAACCAAAACTCGCTCAATCACACGTTGCCTCGCACATGGTTATTTTTTCTTAAATCCTAATCTTACATCACGTGATTACAGCTAATCAATGGGTAACGAGAACAAAAGGAACAAAGTTCACTTCCACAGCGTGACAGTCACGCAGTCCATTTCTCAACATCACAAATAGAATGGAATGTCCAAAAAGCGCTCTTTACTTCCACTGCACGCAATGAGGCATCAGTAACTGTTGTATGGTAGCATCTATATCTATTTAGGCAGTTTTTGTTTCCCTCTGCAGCCTTACCTGCACTACCCATTGTTTCACGCCATATCAAGCGGTCACCCTGTACTTAGCGGTCGGTTATCAAAGTTGCGAATTTTTTTAACCCTTAGTTACTGTAATTTTCCCCTCCATTAAGCGGTCTTTACTGAGTCTCAACAGCTTCTTTCTACTGTGTTCCACCAATACTGAACGGTCACTTAAACCAGAACCACTCAAACAGTACTTCGAGTTATCCTTCAGGTAGAATTTTCTTCATGTTTATCTCCCAAAATCGATGTCAGTAGTATTTTGAGTGGGTTTTTGTGCATTAAGAGGCCAATTTTGAAATAAAATGGCTTTTACCCCTTTTCTGTGGATCCGGTCTTAAGTGGTTGACCTGTACCCCTGCCCCGCGTTACACGTGGGTGACCCCCTAATACAAGTTCGACGGTTACAGTTTTTTTTAAAATACGAATGATGCACGATCCTCGCAGTAGAGAGCGCTATTTAAGCAATAGCGAAAATCAGACCTGAAAAAAATCAGGCCTGTACGGGATTCGAACCACCGACCTCCGCGGTTTTTTTAAGTTTGATAGATTTAGCCTGAATTTCAAAATTTTTGTAACATTTCTCCATCCCTGGTCATCCCCTGCATCTCTGGCTATCTCGTACCTCATTAGGTAGTGTTCAACTATTTTTTCGTAATTTAGAACGTTAACCATGACTGATTACCTACCCGACCTACCCCCATCACCTTAGTCGTAGTCATTACGGTTATGATCATCATTATCATCATCCTCGTCAACATCTGCCATGTCACTTTGGGTTGATTACCTACCCTCACAGAGCAAAATATTGCTTGCTTATATCTGATAAAACCATTGTTTGCTCCTCCTCTTTAGAAACAAAAGTCCTCCGAGACCACAACTCAGTTACCACAGAACTGAAAATTGGCATGACCGTAGCATACGCGGTTAATTTTGTCTTCGCATTGCTTGGCAACTCCTTCGGGTTGTCTGTGGTACTCAAGAAATCATCGCCCCTTGGCAGAATCATGAGCCTATTCATCGCCAATATGGCCGCGGCAGATCTCTTGTTAACGTGTACAGTGGTGCCGTATCAGGTTGCTTATTTTCACAGTGGAGGTACGTGGTTTGGAGGAGCATTTGGTACCGTAACTTGTAAACTTTTCTCCTACGTTGTCACTGTTTCCATAGCAGCTACGGTCCTAACAATGTTGGTAATCTCGATTGATAGATTCCATGTAATATTCTATCCACTGAAAAGAAGGTTATTTCGAAAACCAAAGATCTTGTCGACCATAATTTGGTTTTTATCATTTCTATTAATGATCCCATGCCTTCTCTATTCTGCTGTTGAATTCGACACTGCACAAAGCGCATACACGTGTTCCCAGCTTTCCTCAAAACTAGATAAAGACGTTATCAAGATCTTCCATGTTTGTCTTTTTATCACCCTCTATGCATTACCTCTTTTCTTTATGGTTTTGCTTCATCTTTTGATTTGCCGAAAGTTGTGGCTTCGCAAAATCCCAGGAAATGTATCGTGTGAGAGTCAAACCGCCGTTGGCAGATCTAAACGCAAGATTGTGCGGTTGTTGGTTATAATTGTCGTAGTGTTTGCGTTTTGTTGGTTTCCAACGTACGTCAATCACTACTTTTGGTTTATCCGCCGTGAATCCAAGCTACCAATGGGGGTTCAGTTCTTTTTCTTGTGGTTAGCGCACGCAAACAGCGCCATAAACCCATGTCTTTACATTATGTTTAATGATCATCTTCGTTCTAGACTGATTTCTACTCTAAAATCATATTTTTGACAGAAATGTCCTTGTTTTAAACCAGCTTATCGATCAATTGTTCGTCTGTCCCAAACGAAAAAGACAACCTTAGTATAACTAATATGGATGTAGTTTTGCTAATCGAACCATCCTGTAATTAAGACGGATATTATCCAGCCCAGCTGAGAAACAGCTCTTAACAGCGGCAAAAAGAAGCGTTTGCGTTTGTGACCACCCTACGGGAGGGGGATATCAAAAGGGCCAGTTAGTATGGCTGAAAGGTGTTGTACTATAGCTGACATAAGCCATTTTCTTAAGTAAAATACTGTTCAGTCTTCCACGAAATTAAGGAAAATGATGAATTTTTTAGGATTATCAATAACATTTCGCGGTTTGTTGTGGGGACTTTTCATTATGCCTTACGAAGCTGGGTTAGTTTTATGATACTGATGTACGTGCATATATCAGCTGTCTTGTAAACAGTAACTGTCAGAATAGCGAAGCTCACACCTAATAAAAGAAGTGTCTTAATTTTCGTTTCATTATTTGTCCGATGTTATCTCGTCAGTTTGTCAAAGATACCTGTAATGCTTACCTGACTAAGTGTGGAAAAGAGTCTGTTACTTTTGCGAGTTTGACTTAAAAGTTATCGGAAATTTAATTCCTGCATTGACCTCAAATTTAGGACTAGCCTGGTTAATAGCTTAAGGAAAATGCACTCAGACAAAACCTCACCCTAACTATCGGACAACAATGGCGGTTAAAGATTATATCCACTGTAAAATCTGTTGGGGAAAAGATAGAAAATGAGGTGCTCAAGACAGCATCCTAATCCTTCAACCCTTGAAATAAGTCTAGGGTGTGGAGTAACTGAATATCTATGAGTTGCATACACAGAAGAAATGCGCAACGAATAAAAGTCGAATAAACATGCCCACGATTTTCCACATATCTGTCAGACTCTGATATTGATCTACTTCAAATCGAGGATGGGATAACTGTCATATACACCACTCCTTCTTCTACTTTTTGACCAAACCCTTTAAGCACTCAGAGACAAATACGTATCACTCAGAGATAAATAGATATATGCACTGGGAAGAGCTATTGAATTCTATGAAGCCAATCCTTCCATCGTAAAAGAACTTGGGGACAGAGGTGCACAAGGGAGAGCCTGTGGCAATCTTGGCAACACTCACTACTTGTCAGGAAACTTTGAACTGGCAATCATGTTTCTTGAGACGAGTCATCATCGAAAGGAAGATCACTCTGCTGTTCTTCGACAGAGTTGAAATACTGGCACCTAATGAATCATTCATCAATTTGAAAGACCACAAGGACAGTTTTCAGAACAACCCTACATGCCGCCTGATTAATCCAATCAAATCAGAGTTAGGTAAAGTAAGCAAGCAAATCCTTGACAAGATGAACAAAGCCATCATCGAAAAGACCAATGTTCATCAATGGAGGGTTCGTTTTTTGTATTTTTATCTAGAAATGAAGACGTAGATATCATTCCTGTATGTAACAGGCTTGTTGTTCTTCTTAATGTTAATATTTTACTACTTCCAGAGATATGCTACATCATCCCGAACAAAATAACACAAACATTGCCCAACCCTGGTAATTTATAATAATAATAATAATAATAATAATAATAATAATAATAATAATAATCCTTATTTAACGTGGGTAGAAACACTTAGCAGAAGTTAGTTTACAGGTTTCCACAAAATAATATTAAAGAAAAAAGAAAT